AGTATAAAATATAAAATATTCCATATTGATGCACAAAACATAAAGGAATTCTTTCCCATTAGACCATTACCATTTTTAAATTCTATTAGACTAATCTGAAAAGCTTAAATAGCATCATAATTACAAACATGGTAAAAAAAAAAAAAAGATATATTTTTGAAATGTGTCTGATGGTGACTGACCTGTGTCTGTGCTGAAACCCGGCGTGACGTTGAGGGGTATGGGGAGAGAGAAGTGACTGGAGGCTGTGTGGAGGCAGGACTCCATGTGTCGTCCGTGTCCGGTCACACTGACCGCCTGCCCTGGACGCCGCTGGTACTGCTGCTGGATCTCCTCCTCATTCTGAAGGCTTACTGAATACTGGAAATCACAAACAAAGGTATACAGGACATTATAATTTACACACTGATGAGATAGGAAAAGTTAATTCTGAACAAAAACTGAGAGTGCAGCATTGTTCAACAAACACACCTGCAAGCAGGGAATGTCTCCCTCTGAGAAGTTGAATGTGCCGATGATGTCCTCCCCGAGTCGGTAAACAGTCTTGAAGATGCAGAATTTTGCCACTTTCCCTCGCATATTGGTGATATTAAACATGTCTGGACAAATATAAATAAAAAAAAGTCATGTCAATGTGGACACAAACCAAAAACTGTGGAAAATATCATTCAGAAAAGAAGATTAAAAGAAGACATATTAAGCAGTTACTGAACTACTGTTACTATTTGTGTCTAGCTTACATTTCACACTTAATGAAATTACTTTTACCATTTCAGTACATGTTGATATCAGATGTTTACATGTCAAATCTAGCTTGAAATTAGCCGTTCTGATGGTTCACAAAGACACACCTATTAATGCCATGGATCTAGTAATAAAGCTAGTTAGGCAACACAGTTTTACTTCTTCCTACAAACGTAATTCCTTCCTGTGGATGACACATTTTTACAGTTTCACACAATAATATGACAATAAAAACAACAATAAAATAGCAAAAATGCCTCAAACTATAGCAAAGATATAGAATCTGACTCACGGGGGCAGCGTCTTGAGGTGGTGATCATCAGCATGTCCAGTGCTCTCTCCAACGGCCGAGCATCCCTGCGGCTCGTTTCCTCTTCCTCCAGGAACGGGTTGGAGGGGGAAACCTCCTCATCCTGGGGAAACGGAGGCTCCGGCATGCCTACAGGGTCGATGGAAAAATGTCAACATTCAAGATTTCACAGTGCAATAGAAGTAGATTTTCTACCAGTATTCATCTGGTTGTTGCTGTAGTTTCATTCTGTTCTTCCCCAAAAACAATGTTAAAGCAGGAATAAACATTTAAAAGCGACACACTTCATCAGCACTGGAAGATGTGCAGTGCAAAATAAAAGGAACTGAAATTAATAGTAGTCAAAATCTCCATCTCACCTTGCAGAACCAGCACCCTGAAGGGAACTCTGAGCAGTTTGATGGGAGAGTTGACTCTCTGGCAGCCGATGGTCAGTTTGTAGACGTACTTCACTGCCTGACCACGGAAACTCGGAGGACCATCTATGGGTACGATCTCACTGTATGAATCTGTGGGAGAGAGAGTCCGCATGTCGGACAGTTTGAATCACACACAGAAATATGACCACTGGGAAATTTCTTTAATGTAAAAGTGTTGTCATTACAAAAATCACCACGGTTTTCATTTCTTCTTTTAAAAGATATTTTTTTTAGTAGTTTTATGACACTTCTCATTTTTATGGATCATAACCTTTTTCTCTTTCTCTCACACATCTTTTTTTAACACATGTACACACATACAGGTTTTGCTCTCCCCGGGGTCCAGGCGCAGGTCACAGAATAATATCTTAGGTGGTGTGTCCAGCACACATTGCCCTCGCTCTCCTGTAGAGGAAAAGAATCAGTGTCGAGGTGATTCGACACATTACATATTTACACATACAGGTCCTCTTAAATCTTTGTTTGAAGACTAGTTAGTTTAATGTGGTTCAGTTTGCAGCAACCCCGTTTGTTAATTTAAAACACAACACAAACTTGTAAATGTGCATGTAAATTTATTTTTATGAACGTTTAATCGAGCAGAGAGTGATTTTCATTTCTGCTTTTCTTCCCCGCACCAACCTCTGCTTGGAATAAGAACCGTGTCGCTCTCAGCCTGCACGTCCTGTTTGTTGCCCTGAGCCGGCAGGGCCACTCTGCTCTCACTGGCATGAAACTGGCAGTGGATCTGGGCACTGGCCCATGCCAGCATCTCACTGGGACACAGGCAGAAAACAAAGGTTACACAAGGGCATTCGCAGAGTGATTAGTTAAATGATTGATTTAAGTGTCTTGCATTACACGGCCCCAGTTCATACGGGGTTACAAGACACTAGACAACAACCAAGATGACTGTGTAAAAAAATAATGATGTACAGATCCACAAATTCAAAAAGAAAAACATTTAAAAAGATCTCATATACAAGGTCGCAGTCATGTTATGAGCCAACCTCCTTGTTTGAGCACACAACAACCCCTGTCTTCTTTGTAGATTATATTTAATATATTGTTTTTATGTAGTAATCTGTCAAACAACTAGCTTTCTATATAAACTATATAGGTACATACATAATACCTATATAGTACATACTGTTTTTTT